TGTCTTGACTGACTTGATGGTTCGCCACCATGACTGTGGTTCCCGGTCTAGCACTGTCCCGCAGGACTGCAATTGCTGAATCCGTTTGAGGTTCTAGGCCTGGGTCTTGAGGCTCACTGCCCGACTTACGTCCCTCTGCCGGGTCCACACCAGTCTGTGTCGACAAGGCATAGATCAAGATCCCACAATTCGAACAGGAGTGTTCCCTTCCCGCTGAAACCCCAGGATTGATACTGCAGAGTTTAAAACAGGTCATAATTTCCCACAAAATAAATATTTGATTCGATAATGTACACAAGTGACGCGAAAACCATAAATAGTTAAATAGTTGCAAGGTCTTAGAGCTGAAATCTCCTCTCTAAATAAAAGAGAAAACATAAATTTATCAAAAGGTTCTAACTCACGGTTTGCAGCGTGTTTCTCCAAAATTATGGTCACCAGCAGGATTTGGGACCTAAAAGCCCCAGCAAGTCGGCAATGCTGCAGTTTGCTACACGGTTGATAGCTCGCTAAAGCTTGCTCTCCACACAAAAGTGGGAAGATGCCAGAGTTTGAATACTCTGAATCACTTCTAGATGCAGCCACACACAAGTCAGTGGAAAGTAAATTTCTATGTGAAGTTTTGCATGGACAATAATAAATTTGAATCTTTAAACATTGAATCTTGCACAAGGGAACAAGACCAAGGTCCAAACACGGAATTTAAGACATTTATCGCCTGTACTATTGAGAGTAATATTCATAGGGGTTTTTCGTATGTAGCTGATAAGAAATTAGTTTGAAGGTGCACTGCTGTTGTTAAGAAAAAATTCCTGACAGCTGAAGAGTTTCCTCGAAACAAAAGGACGCAAAGTTAAACCTATCGAATCATGTCACAATGAAACCTTTTAATCACTCACTGGCACCTGAATGCGAGACAGTTTAATCCACGCTGATTTGTCAAAAATCTGTGAGCACGGGGCTCGCCTCTCGCGCGCCAAGTCCATATATGGAAAATGAAAGTAAAACTCTATTCTATGACAAAATTGTTGAAATCCATCATATATTGACTTGTTTTGAACCTCTAATTAAAACGTATTAATGAATGGGAATAAATATGTGATGGAAGGGTCTTAAACGCATGTTAATAAGTTTAAGACCGGCCAAGCACATGTTTATTTCCCTCTTAATGGTTACATCATCAACTAGCTATTAGTGTAACTGGACTTTTTTTTTCTACGACAAAACCCAGGAGCAAATGGGGGGATATGTGAGGTGCACACCTCTTTTTTCACACACAAAAAATGAATAAATTAAAAAGCAAAAGCAAAGAAGCTTTTGAAAAATCCTGGATCAAGCCGCTCCGCTTTTGGAAAAGCTTGGATCCGCCCCTGAAACTGTTTACATACGTTTTGATACGATATTGGAAACCTTCAGTTCTGGAAGCTGTTGTAACGTTTGTTTGCATCCCGCACAATGTCAAGATTCAAAGAGTCAGTGAAGTGGAAGGCAAGCTGTTAGTTGGTAACTGATCCAAGAGGACTGTTCAGTGTTTCCGAACGAGAAAAGCTGGTGACGTTTGTCTATGCCTTATCAACATCAGACACAATTTTAATTCAAAATACGAGTAGGGTGTGTGTTTCTTGTGCATCCTACTGTGCATTGAGTATTCCTGTGGAGTACTGATTAAAATACGCCTTGTACCTGCGGTTCCCTCTGTTTTAGGCTTGAATACAGAAAAATAACAAGAAAAACACACATTAATGTGCTCAGCTGTTGTCTCACCTGTTCATCCGCTGTTGGTAATGCCAAAATTGACTGGCCCAACGCCACTACCAGAAGGAAAAGGCGCAACATACTTTCTGCAGCAGGTTCCTTCAGGGAGGTATCAACTTCTATGAACTGGATAGCAATCACTGCAGTACACCATGGCATAGAACGACATTGTCAGTAACCTGGAACGTGACCACAATCAGCGGTTATTCTGACCAGCATGCTTCACTGCCTACGAAACGAGTCGCTGATCGGCCGCACTAACAATTACCAAGCGTCCTTCAACTCCAAAAGTGGAGATTCCTTGTTAAAAGCTTTACAATTGGTATGAACCCAACGTCTAGCCATAGTACGAAATTCTCAGTATGATCTTTTATACACCAAGGTTGGAAAGCTTCACTGGGCCATAACAAAATTTTGTTTGAAACTTTATGTTACAGGTAGTTACTTTCGCGCAGCCCCCGGCCTCCTTTGTTACTTTGCATTCTTGTTTTTGGATTATTATATTCAAAGCATAATGCGTTCCTCTAAAGCCATGAAGCATAAAAAAGGGAAAATGGCCTCCTCTGGGAAACGAAAAGAGGAAGGCAATGCCCTTGCAGAGTGTGAAACCCATGAAATATGCAGCCTAATGAATCACTCCTGGCAATACCATACAGATTATATATAACAGGTTTTGTGGAACTCGAACCCACGACCTCCTGCTGTTAGTGCACATGTCTTGACCACTCGACCACCAAACTTGCCGGGGTCGGCTGGCCGGTCCAAGTCAAATGAAGCAGCGGGTACCGCGAACTATTTTCAAGATGCATTTTTGCGTTGGGGAGATGATAATTATATATAACAGGTNTGTTTCTGCCCTGCATTTGTTCACTGGTATGAAAAGCTTTTGTGATCCACCCCACCCTGTGGAGTGGGCAGAAACATAGTAATCAGATGACTCAGCTTCAGAGCCTCATCGCTTCATCATTCTCTGCTGCTGTACATTGTTACATTGTATGAAACATAGCTACATGTATATCTATTTGCCTTGGTGCATACAGCGTTAGTGATTGGCACAGGTCGAGGGACGCTGCATGCAATCCTTGAGTTCCTCAAACCTAAAGTGTAGCAGTGATCTACGTACTGCCAGCTATACGCTGTTGGTCGAGATCACTGACTGTCGGTTTTTTTATTTGTATCAATATAAATTCTCTCACGCTTTGAGGCATTGTACAAATTGTAAATAAAATATTGAATGTAGTATTCGTGCCAACACATTCCCTGTTGTCTTTATTTTACTTCTTAACTGAGTCCTCACCCCACTCGGTTACACTGGTGCAGATGTCTTAACCACTCGACGACCGAGCTTGCCGGGGTCGGCTGGCCGGTCCGAGTCAAATATAACAGGCAAAACCTGTTATATATAATTATCATCTCTGTATTGAAAACCATACAGATTAATGTCACATTGACGCCGCTTACTTTTAACTGTTTGATAGTATCTTGTCTTCTATAGACATTCTAATAATATCGCTTTACTAAGTTTTTAACTGAAACCCCCACTAGTCAAAAAAGCTTTAGGTTGTTATGCAAATGCTGAGTATGTTTAATTTTTTATACTGAGTATATTTGTAGACAGAACGCAAAAGACAGATAATTTGCAGAGACACACTCGAAAAACAGTAATTATTATTACTTTTTGCGTCAGCTTTGGTTGCTGAAATCAGAATTTATAACACATAAAAACCCAAAAGCGTTATACCCACTAAATACCCGGATTAAAAAGACATGTTCTAAGCCCTTTTGCGCTAGCTTGAGGGTATATTGAGTAAGGAAACCGTACGACTAGTAGGCCTACATGACCATGTTCCAACTTTTGCAGGGCAAAAACTCTGGGTGATTCCCACCAAAGGGTCTTTACGTAAAGTGCAAACGTTGTGCACACACTGATCGACAAATTGGTCAAGGGGAATTTCGCAATTCATTTTATCATTTGAGCTTGTTACTCAATTGGGCAGACCCTGAGTTAAGGGTCGAGAATCCTGTGGATAAGCTGAAGTCACCTAGCTTAGCGTGACTGTGCCTAAGTCCCCAGTGGTGCATGTGTCGTTGAGGGGCTCGGCAGGTTT